ATTAATTTTCCAACTATGAATGCATGATTGTGGGCTGATCAATTTGTCAAAAAGAGGAATGAGAAAAGAGAAATAGAATAATAATTGTGAGTTGAGTTTCAGGACTAAAGTTCCAATTGATACTGTGGACGAAGCCTGGGAATCATGTTTAGATTAGTTTTATTAGAAAACAATATTCGAAGGCAGTAGTGCGCACTGGAAATAAGCCACTAGAAGTTGGAGTAAGAGATGGTTATGGATATTGTATCTATTTTATTTTTTCTCCATACATTATTAAGGGTCATTTTTTCTCATTAGAATCGGCAGGCGTCAGGCGTGCCTTGTGCACACACACTCTCTCATGCACGCGCACGCGCACACGAACATATACACCCGCGCATCCATGGCCACACATACACTAACTATTAGTTATCTTTTTATTTGGTGCACAGTGCGCGCATGCACACACTATTATTTATCTTTTACCTGCTGAAAGTGAATGTGGAATCTTCCTTCAGAGGTGTAGAAATATCACCTGCACATTAACCCACTTTCACGATTATTATTTATCTATAAAACCTCAACAAGATTATAATATTTGTTGCAGATTGTTGATCTGTTGACCAGTAAATGAGTAGATTATTGTGGATTACTTTGCGGAAATGAAAAATGCTGGGTGCTTCTAGGTGCACACCGTGAGCCACATAGATCCCTTTAGGCGATGAAGTGAATTTTAGAGCACTTACTTGCCCTCCTAAGCATAGGCTTTTTCATAACACATGGAGGTGTGCTATAAACTAGATAACAGTGAACGTTATATATGATTACAGTTAGTAGGTGGGTTTTCAGGATATAGATCTGATAGGATGTTGTTTCCCCACAAGCTCATATTTGAATGTAAGTTATTAACAGTGCAACACAGACCTGAAAAGAGTCTGTGTCTTGTCTTTCCATCCAACTCAACCGTTACGTCAAGTTAAAGTTTGCCTAAAGCAATAGAATCTCTTGCATACTCCTTATTAAATCTTAAATCCTCATAGACCCCATTTAGTATCATCCTGCCTCTTACTTTTCTGTTTAGTCTCTTACCATAATCTCCCTTCTTTGCTTGCCCCTTCTTCCCTCCCTCCAAATCAATCACTATGAGAACTGTACCTTCTTTCTCCCTTGCCAAAACACCATTGTCCATCTCATAGTACAAAGGCAAATGGCGATGAAGATGTCTATCATGACATGTAGCATTAGGTCTAACATTGAGTTCTAATGACAAAAAATTTGATTGATGGTGGTGGAGTGCAAATGGTGTTGATGATTGTGACAGGTGGAGATGGAGATTAGTGATGGTGTGGCACTGTGGCAATAGTGACTGACAGAGGAGACGATTATTGAGGTGGGCTGGTGGATGATGGTGGTCTTTGATTGGTTATTGGTAGTTGTGATGCTGTAGTTGATGGCGTAGTAAATAGCAGAGGTGCTGAATGAGGATGGCTGTGCAACAATTACGAGAGATAGGAAGGGAAATGAGGTTAGATGTATTTGGTTGATGTGGATAGGATAGGAAGTGGAAATGAGGCTAGATGGAGAAACGACGATGAGGTCATTTAAGGGGAGAATTGAACTTGAACAAGAGGATAGGGATGAGAGATCAAAGTTTAGGGATAGTGGTATTACCATCCATGTGAGAGAATAGATTATCTTAAATGGAACATTCTCAATTCTTGTGATGGTTACAAACAGAGGTTTTTTCATGTGAATTTTGCATTCCAAGGGCAGGAACTAACATCCAAAGTGTTTTAGGACTAATATCAAATTTGAATGTTCGTTAGGGGCCATCTCCTAATAATCCTTGTATCTTGGGTATTGAGAATCATGATGTCCAAGAAGCAAATGATATTAGTAAACTGATTTTCGCACATCAACTGTAATGAGAGAAATGATGGCCCATGTATATGAGTGATTGTACTTTACAAAAATGAACGTGTGGAGTCATAGTAGTAGTGTCACGCCACGGTTCCAAAGTGTAATACTTTGGAACGTGACTCAGCCGACAGTGCAACCATTTAGCCACATTCACGCCTCTAGATCATCATGTATATGGATATAAAGCTAAAACTACACCGTAGAGCATGTAACTAAGATATTAAAAGAAATATATAGATAAAAGAAATCTCCAAAAGGATGGAGTTCAACTTCGAGTTCATAACTATCCACAATGGGAAAGGGTAATAAATAAAAAAATTACATCATAGTCTAGAAAAAAGGTCACATGTGACTCAAGAAAAAGTCTAAACCAAATAACTACCTAAACCAACTGAACTAAAGAACTGATGGCCTAAAAGGTGATCACTGCTGCCGAACTTACTCCTCAAAATATTCTCGATCTTGCGAAGAAATAATGGTTCCTGAGTCTGGGGTGCGCAAGCCCCAGGGCAGTCAGAAAATTCCCAACAAGCATGTAAAATGAAGAAATTATGCGCGTGTAAGTGTATGTAGGTAACAGGTATAACAAAAAGATGAAAACTCAATTAAATATGATAAAATAAAAAGCTAATTGTAAATATCAAATAAGGTCTACCACAAGGCACACAAGCACATTATTATTATTTTAGGTGTTATTTGAATTAGAGAAGAATATTTTTATGTATATAAATCGGGTTTTCGTAAACCGTCATGGGAACACGGTTTCAAGTCAGGATTGACCCTTAGCCATTTTATTTATAAATGTGGATATCAAGAATTCGCATAAGCCCGTTTATATACACGTTATATTTTTTGTCCAATTCCCCTTTATAAACCCCACATTTATCTATTTATTTTAAGTGGTTATGCATGAAATATTATTCACTAACTACAGAGTTACTGTTGAACGGTTTCCATAAAATTTATGAAAATATACTTGTGATCCAAAACATGTCCAATCAAGATGGGTGCATTATCTAGTCAATGCTATTATAATAATTAGTAATAATCAAGAGAAACTCCTCACATCGGGATATCGATGTCGAGGGTATAGTCATGCTATGATACCACGTTTATGAATCATAATTCTTGACAGAAGTCGTCTTCATGCATAATCAACCCTATTAAATGTCACAACATAGCATCAGGTGATCCAACAAGCATCAAGAGATCATACAATATTATCATTCATCTTAACGAAAAAGAAAATAAATAATTAGCATAATTGTTTAGTGTCAAAACGGGCCAAACAGTTTTGATTTGACAGCGTTGAAATCTGTAAAAAAAACTAATTTTAGTGAGCAAAAGGCCCAAACGGGTCTGAAATCTGATATTGAATCCTAACTAGGTCAAACGGGTCTGTAATTTGAATTATAAACCCAAGCGGATCTGAAATCTGATATTGGATCCTAACTGGGTCAAACGAGTCTGTAATTTGAGTTCTAGACCCAAATGGGTTGGGTATTGGTGTATTTTAGACCCAGACGAGTCTGGTTTAATAGTGGGTCCGAACCGGGTCGGGTTCGAGTTCAAACCGACCCAAAATATATAATGAGGAAAAGGAAGGCTCTGGGATTCGAACTCCAAACCTTTGTGTCATTGTGTATATATATATATACAGTGCATTTCAAGTGCGGAATGGTGCGTACGCATTTTGGGTTGATAGGGATGTTTTTGCAAAAATCCCTCCGCTACAGCTGTTTCTCATCCTCCGCTCATTTATGGAAAAGAAATCTCATTCTCTCTTTCTCTCACTTCATTAAAATCCCCAAATCCTGAT